CCCTTCAATTCTAAATGACAGCTTAGTTGGGTGATCTTGGCTGTAGGTCCTTGCTTCTCATCACTTTGAATGCTTCTCGCCAGTCATTTCTAGCCTGCGTTTTCTTTTGAGAAATCTACTGACAGCCTTATGGGAACTCCTTTGTAGGTAACTCTCTGCTTTTCTCTTGCTGATTTTAAGATTCTATCTTTATCTCTAACCTTTGTCATTTTAATTACGATGTGTCTTCATGCGGTCCTCTTTGGATACAACTTGTTTGGGACTCTCTGTGCTTCCTGGACTTATATGTCTGTTTCCTTCACCATATTAGGGAAGTTTTCTTTCATTATTTTTTCAAGTAACTTCAATTACATGCTCTTTCTTATCTCCTTCTGACACCCCTATGATTCAGATGTTGGTGTGTTTGGAGATGTCCCAGAGGCTCCTTATTCTATTCTTGGTGGTTTTTTTGTTTGTTTGTTTTTTTTAATTCTTATTTTCTTCTTGCTGTTCCAAGTGAATGCTTTTTTTCTTCCTTATGTTCCAAATCATTGATTTGAATCTCGGCTTCCTCCCCTCCACTGTTGGTTCCCCGTAGATTTTTCTTTATGTCACTTAATGCAACCCTTCATTTTTGCCTGGGTTTTTTTTTATGCTGTTGCAGTCCCCAATAATTTCTTTGAACATCCTGATCACCAGTGTTTTAAACTCTGCATCTGATAGGTTGCTCATCTCCATTTCATTTAGTTCTTTTCCTGGTGTTCTGTTCTGTTCTTTCATTTGGGCCATATTTCTCCTCAATTTGGCAGCCTCCCTGCATTTGTTTCTGTGTGTTAGGTAGAGCTGCTTTGACTCCCTGTCTTATTAGCACAGCCTATTGTAGAAAAGACACCTGTAAACTGTGTGGGGCAGAGCCTTCAGTAGTTGCCAGGGCACGGCAACCTGGTTCACCGCTTCATGGCTCTGTGGCCGGGGTGGGGAGGGCTTAGAGAGGGGACCATGCCACTGCCTGGCCTCTGGTCATTGCCAAGGAGGAAGCTGTCTCCGTAGTACTCACCCTCTTGCCCATCACTTCTCTTTCTCCCCTTCTCCCCATATACCCCTTGTGCCCTTCCAGCAGTTGCCGTGGTGGGTCTGCATGAGTGCTAAATCCGCTGAGGGCCCTTTAAGAGCAGTCTCTTGAGAATCTGGCAGTTTCTTCTGCTGGCTCAACCCCCACTGGATTTTGCAGCCAGAAGTTATGGGGACTTAACTTCCTGGCCCAGGAAGCCTGGGCCATGCGGTCTGGTCTGGGGCTGGGATCACTCACTCCTGAGGTATCCTTTCTGATTTTTATCAGCCACACATGAGTGTGGGGCTACCCATTCCACTGCCTCTCTGCGCCTCCACGTGCCTGCCCTTCCTACCATCTGGATGAATGTGGCTTCCTTAAATCCTTGGTTGTTGAACTTCCATACAGTTCAACTTTCTGATGAATCTGGGCGTTGCTTGTTTTGTAGTCTAGGTGTGATTTTTCTTGCAGTTGTGCACAGAGGCAAAGCGTGTTTAACTACGGCTCCATCTTGGCCAGGAATCTGCGGAGTCATTATTAAATTGGTGTCCCTAACACGTGACCAAAATGCTCCCTGTCCTAGATCCCCGCCCTCCCAGGATTACTGTGCAGTCAGGCGGTGACCGAGCACACGCCGGCCACAGGCGGCCCTCAGTACCGTTATTACTGCTGTTAACGGACTCCACCTTCTCTTCTGATCAGCGATAAAGGTATAACGAAAATAATCTTGTCCTCAGGGAACTGTAGGCCGAGCTCAGGCAGGTACCTGAGCTCCGAGTGCCAACAACCCAAGCTGAGGTGAGCCCCGGGGCCGCTGCTGTCACTTCGGCGTCTCTGCCCTCGTCTCCTGGAACGCCCGTTGTGCCAAGAGCTGAATGTTGTCTGCAAATTCCAAAAAAGAGGGCGTGACCTTCTGGAAAGGGTCTGTCTCCACTAGGCTCCTGGCCACCTGGTTGTCCTTTGCACAGTCTGGAGAGCTTTGTGACGGTCATCTTGTCTGTCCTTCCCTGGCACATTGGGAGAAGCCAGCAGCACCCACGCTAGTACGGACCAAGCCCTTCCTTGAATGTGCTGGAGTCGGTGCCACAGTGCACGAGCCAGACCTGATCCCTGGACTAATTATGTTTTTCATTTGTCACCCCCAGGTCAGGCGACCAGAGCCTACCCCTATCTCCCAGAGCCCGCTGGGATAATTCCCACTGGTCAGTCCTACACTGGTCCGTCTGCCCTGCCTTGCCTTTCACAAAGAAACCCCAATAAAAGCCCTGGCCCAAGCATTCCCCTTCTTCTGCCTTCTGCCTCCCAACCACCGGAGCATTCCCCACGTGGCCCTGCCTGGTAGGTGTGGCCCCTGCTTGTGGAAAATGTGAGTAATGGATTCTTGTAATGGCACTTGCCTCTCCTGTCATCACTCAGTCACCTCCATAAATCAAAATCCCATGGGTACAGATGACACAGTCCCTGCCTGCATGGAGCTCACAGTGTCTGGAGGGGTCAGAACTAAAACAGAGACTGAGACTTAAAGACCCTCTCAGATGTGTGCACCACACAGGAGCACTATTGGAGGCTGCGAGCCTCTCCCCCAGCTCCCGTGCCAACGTGGACAGCATGGGCTTTGTGTCATCAGCATCTCCTCCCCTGGTATGTCTGTGAGCATCCGCCCGTCCCCACTCCTGGCTGCTGGTTCTAAGGCACCCGCTCCCCAGCTTTCTTGCACTCGGCGCAATTCCTAGGCCTGGGCAATCTATAGATCCTACCCCCTTGCCTTCTTCGGTCATTGGCTCGGGACAGGCATGTGACTCCAGCTGAGCTAATGGGAGTCTGCTGGGCCCAACTCTCCCACTGTGTAGAGCGCAATCATCCAAGAACAGGGCTAGCCCCGAGGAGCACTGTGGTAGGTTCTGAGCCTGGATGCGGTCCCGTCGGTCCTGGCTGGGTCCCTGGTTTGTTGGCTGGCACGGCCACAAATTCCTTTTTGCCCTAATCGAGCTGAGCTGCGTCTCTGACAGTGAAATCAGATGTCCTGACCAGTGTAGGGAGCTGGCCTCACTGAGGAAAGAGTCCCCGTAGAGGTGACAGTTAAATTGAGAAGGTAAAGATGACTACGAACAGCCAGATGGAGTGGAGGGGAGAGAATATTCTAGACAGAAAGAGCAGCATGAGAGAAGGCCCCAAAGTGGGAAGAACAGAGCTTTAGGAATTTGTTTGCCTCATTACCTTGCGTGTGATCCATTGCAGCTAGAAATTCCATCGATGAATAAGCTTTATTAAATAAGTGCCCATGACCCTTGGTCATAGATTAATGTCAAAGTACCTATGGTTTGAAAATCCCTTGTCATTTGACATACCATGATTTTAAGAAAAAAAACAGTTTGTTGTACCTTACAAACCCCTGGCTGTGCCTACTATTCAGTTTAATTTTCTGCTTTGCATCTAGGATTTTGGGCCTAAAATACTGGCCCGTCTTAGTGCAGAAGCTGGAGGAATTGGGGGCAGCTTGCAGCATGTTGGGGAGGGGATCTGGGACCAGTTTTGCCTGGCGACGAAGCTGCCAACAGAGCCGGGCAGTGCCGCTTGGGCTCAGAGCTGCCATGCATCAGATGGAAAAGAAAAATGGATCTGTCAGTTTTTGGATTTGCCTTCGACCCCAAGAGGGCTGGAACTGATGGCTGGGAGTTCGGGGGCCATCTCCGGCCAGCTCAGAGACAGAGTTGGTGAACCCACAGAGTGCAGGAGATGCAAATAGGAATTTCTTGCAGCCTCAAGAAAGGCGGCACCACCTTTCCTATGCCCCGCAGCTCTCCCAAGCCCCGCCCCCATCGCCAAATCACTCACTTTACACATTTCGAGGGAGGCAGCAGGGAAAACTAGCCAGGTTGGTTTTGTGTTACTTCTTTGTATTCTACCTTGGGTCAGGTGAGCACAGGGCAGATTTTCCCCTATGTGAACATCCCTCGTGTCACTAACATTTTTTGTTATTTATACTTGCTTCTGTGATTTATTCTGATGCCCCAGAATACAAGCCTTTTGGAGGGAAGGACAAATTGTGTGCATTTCTGCAGGACTCACCGCTGCTAACCAGTGCCAGCCCCCATGGGATCTGATCGATGACTTTTTCTGAACTCATCACTACACTAGGAAAGGCCCACAGCTGAGCTCCATCCAGGCTGGAGGGTCTCTTGATCCCCATCTGGGGGTCAAATGGATAGGGCACACAGGGGTCATTGTGTCCTAATGGGCCAGGCCCTGGCCTTAGCACGGAGACTCTTGGAAATCTGAGGACACTGAGCTGTGGGTGGGTCAGGCCCAGACCTGGCCAGGTGGCTTATGCCCCCAGGGGCTACTGAATCTCACAGATTGGGGATACAGAAGGTCAGGTCAGACTGAACCCCTGGTGAAGTCAATCCCAAGTCTGGAGCTGAGGGAAGAGCTGGGAGCACTGAGTTTTGGGTGGGGTCAGGTCTAGGCCTGGCCAGGTGACTTGGCTGGCAGGGGCTGCTGAGACCTGGGTCACAGGAGGAGGTATAGGTCCTATGCCCTGGCATGGACTATGGGCCTGGTTAACTGTGAGGCCTAGTTCTGGCCTGCACAGAATGCTGAGTCTGGAGTGGTGTCCACCCAGACCCTGGCTTGAAGGCTCTGCGCGTTCAGAGGTGCTGGGGAAGGCCGGTCAGCCTCTAGCCCTGACTCGGTGACTCCTGACCAGCAGGGGGCGCTGCGTCCCCAAAGGGAGGCACAGACCGGCTCCGGGCCGGCAGGGGGCGCTGGCCCACGGCAGCGCGGCGGGTGCCCGGCAGGTGGCGCTCTGGCTGCGGCCGAGGCCCGGCGGGCGGCGGCGGCGGCGCGGCGGCGGCACGGCGGCGGCGGCGGCGGCGCGGCGGCGCGGCAGAGCGCCGGCTCGCTGGCCTGGGCGAGGGGCGGCGGCGGCGGCAGGAGCGGAGGAGGCGGAGCGGCGGCGGCGGCGGCGGCGGCGGCGGCGGCGGCGGCGGCTGGCGGCTGGTGGCGGGAGCGGCGGCGGCCCCAGGCGGGCTGGAGCGCCGCTGGCCGAGCGCACAGGCCGCGGCCCGCGGAGCCCGCCATGCCGGCGCGGGTCTGAGGCGCGGCGAGCCAGCGCCGAGGCGAGCGGCGGCCGCGCCGGCCGGGGTTCCCGCAGCGGCCCGGCCTGGGCCCGATGAGCGGCGGCCTCGGCCTCCGGCGCAGCCCGGAAATGTCCGGCAAGATCGAGAAAGCAGGTGAGGCGCGGCGGCCGGCGGGGGTCCGGGCCGTGCCCGCGGCAGGGCTGCCGGCCCCACCGGGACTCGAGGGCCTGCGGGTGCGCCGGGGGCAGAAGTGAAACCGCGCCCGGGCCTGCTCAGGGCGCAGGCGGCGGGCCGGCCCTTCGCCGCGCTCTCCAGGGCGCACGGCCGGCCGCGGGCGCGGGGGCCGGGCGGGCGCGGGGGACGCGGCCCCGCGGCCGAGGGTGGGGGCCCGGCCGGCTGCGGGAACTTTCCGACCGCGGCTCGGACCTGGGGACGGGCAGCAGAAAAGCCCGGGCCGCGTGTGCAAGTGGCTGCAGTGCCCCGAGCCCCGCCAGGCGGTTGTCTTTTAGACCGAAGATAGAGCGGAGCCATAAAATGTGTCAATTCTAATGAGCCTCGAGTTTAAATTTAACCACAAGTGTCTACTTCGATGGCTTTGAAGGCAGGAGGCAGGATGTGTCTGGGCATTTTCAGGGTTCGGGGGACTTTTCCTCCGGTATCCAGCTCCGCTCTGGAAGCAGGGCGTGTGGGCAGCCGGTTAGGTTCGGGGCAGCTAGTAAATCCTCACGCGAACCTCCTCTTTGTGTGCCCTGAAAATCTCGGGGAGCTGCCTTCCGCGGATCTGGTTTTTGCCCGGACCGGGAATAGTGTCTCCAAAGGTTCGATTAGGCTGCGCTAGGGGGCCCGGAGCTTAATTAGCCAGCGACGCCTTGCGGGGTGCACCCTGGGTCCAAGGTGAGGGCTCCTGTTCCCCTAGCAGGGCTGGGGGTGCCAGCAGCCGGGCCCCCGGGGCCGGGTCCCGCGAGCAGGGCGCCCTGGTGTGGAAGTGACTCCCGTTCCCCAGGTTGAACCAGGAGGCACTTTGCTGAGATGCACCTGGAGCGGACCCAGGGGTTCAACACAAGCAGGAAATTTTTGTGGCTTTTATAGAGGGTTTTCTATACATCCGGCGCTGTGCTGAGCGCCTTGAATGTATCGTTTAGGAAGTCCTTGCAGATTCTCAGTGACAAAGTACACAGTCCTGGTGTTCAGGCCCCGGGCCATTCAGCGAGGTCCTGCGGGCCACCCCGCAAGACAGCAGCCAGCCCCACTGGCCGGCTCTGACCAGGAGGAGCCCAGGGCCTTCCTTGGGGCTGGGTGCTCTGTGTCAGGCGCTGCTTCTCGGGCACTTTCCTCACTGGTCTGCAGCCCCAGCTCCTTGGCTGGGACCATCAGCCGCTTCCCTGCACATGTGCCGTTCCAGAAATATCTTGGGTTAATCTGTGAAGCATTTCTCAGGAACCCTTTGGTAACGTCTCAGAAGGGTACTGGTGGGAAAGTGGATGAGTTTATTTTTAAAATAACATGAACAGGGCACTCCTTGATGATTAGGATATATCCATTGTCAAAGACGTGGCAATCATGGAAAAGTAACAGGCCAAGATGAAGAGCACCCCTTGTTCCACCCAGACCTCCCCGAAAGAGGTGACCCCCCGTTTGCCTGCTCCGGGACCTGGGCAACGCGGGCCTGAGGGCCAACCTGCGATGGCAGAGCTGCTCCTGGGGCCTCTAGGGCACTGCCCGCCGCTGGGGGCTGGGGGAAGGTGCAGAGGAGGGCGCCCTGCTTGTCTGAGGAGGGAGAGCCCCCTCCAGCTCAACGCCTGCCCCCAGAGTCAGGCCGGCGGGCACAGGGGAGGGGGTCTGGGGGGAGAGTGTTTGTGCAGGGCTCTGAAGAGAGGGTGTTGCCCATGTGCAGGTGTAGAGGGTGGAGGGGAAGGGCCCCGGGGACGCGGGAAACTCAGGAGGGAAGTGCACCTGGCGGGAGGCGGGAGGCGGCTGAGACCCCACGGGGCTGGCACCCGCTGTGGGGCCAGACCTCCTGCGGGGTCCCGCGAGGCCAGGGAAGCCTAGACTCCCTGCAGTGAGGGTGTGCCTTCCCGGTCATTCTGCTGGTCGTTCTAAGTGGACTTCCCTTTGCACTCCAACAAGAGGTCCTGTGATGTTTCTGTCGGAGTTTTCTAAGTAGACCTGCCGCTCCGTCATTCGAAGGAAAGGACCTCAGGTGAAGCAGGACCCCTGTAGGCAAGCGGCAATTCTGCGTATCAGAGCCCGACACCCAGCAAGTGGTCGCTGTGCTCGGTTTCTGTAGACTTGAAGCCATGCAAGTGTCGCTCACACGTGTTCTTAATCTCTTCTTTCTGGAAATAGAAGGGCTTTTGCTCCTTGGGGTTTAGGGAATCCAAGGTTTTTTGAGCGTAATAGAAAACTCCTTTACCCGCTGTGCGGCCTCCTGCCCATTCCCCGTTCTGATGGGCCCCTGGGGAGCAGCGGCCTCTTCAGCCCCTGGGCAAGCCTTTGAGTTTGTCCGCTGCTCCGCAGCACCTTCGGTCACGCAGCATACCTGGCTGGTGGGGCCTGCAGGCCACGCAGGCCGCCCTCCTGCCATTCCTGGGGACACAGAAAGGCCTCCGAGCGGGCTGTCCCCAGTTGTCTCTGCTCCGGACCTCGTGGTTTGGAGGGCCAGGAGGAAGGCTGGGTGGCGGGGGGCTTCAGTAAACTCTGGCGTCTCCAGGAGGTAGCGAGGCAGCCGGGAGTAGGGGTAGGGCTCCTGGCCCAGGTGAGCCTGTGGGCAGACCTGGCGAGGAGATGAGGCTGCTCCCAAGGAGCTCAGCGGGGCTGGCTCGGGAGGACGGCAGAGGCCACATGGGGGGGCCAGTGCGTGTGGCTGTGGGGGTGGACTTCGGCTGCTCGCGCGCTCAGCGAACACGGGGCGGGGGAGGGGGCATTGAGGCCCTTAGGTTTCTGGAGCTTGAGCAGCCCCCTCGCCCAGGAGTGGAGGTGGCAGACTGGAGGCTGTGGGCTGGGTTCAGTCTGCCGACGTGTTGTATTTGATCCGTGTTGCAAGCGTTACTGAAGAAAAAAGAAAGACCTAATGGTCAATATTTAAAAATCCTGAGGTCAGTCACAAATCTCAGGTTTCCAGTTGACTTGAAAACTGAGAAGCCTCGATAACTCCGAGCCCTCGTTCCTTCAAGGCAGGCTCGGGTGGCCGCATCCCACTGCCAGGCACCTCCCCGACCCGTCCCTGCTTGGACCGCTGACGCCCCTTCCTTGGAGCAACCGTGCACGTCTGTTTGCGTTTCAGCCCCACTTCGAAAGCTTCGCTCCTTGTGTTCGTTGAGTCACCCCTCGGCTCCCTCGCTGAGCGCTCCGCGGGCGCTGCACGAGCCCTGGAGCCAGTGTCTGTGCCGCCGCCGGGGAGGCTGCGGGCGGCCGTGCTGTCGGGTTCCCGGTGGAGGGCCGGCAGGGAACTAGGCTCCGAGGCATTGAGGCTGAGGGCCCAGCAGGGAGGACGAGCCAGTCGGCGAGCACAGCAGCCGGGCCCGGGGGAAGGTGGCTTCGCGCCTGCTGCCCGGACTCGTCGGCGTCTCGGCTGCGTGCCAGTTCCTCCCTGCGTCAGGCAGTGCGCCCAGCCCCTCCTCAGGGCGCGCAGTCGTTCTGTCCTTGGGGTACGACAGGCAGAGAGACCCTGCCTGCTGGGCCCTATCTTCCATCTGGGGCAGACAATCAGAACAGACGTCACGAGGATATCAGCGTCACAGCCCAGCCTTGTGTCCCCGGCAGACCACAGTCGGCATAGGCCTTTGATCATTGAGGGACCCGCCGCCACCCCCACCAGCTCAGGAGGCTCACCACGGCCTTGAGTTGCTGGCGGGGGAGGGGGCAGGTGGGAGGGAGGGGCTCACCCAGCGCACCCCGGCCTGAAGACAGGGGAAATACGGCGTCTGGCTCCAGTGCTGCGTTCTTCGTGTCCCGGGATGCTCTTATGGCAACTTAAAAAGAAAAACTGCCACCAACTGCATTCATAGTAACACTTGTTATTATGCATTTTCTTGACATAGAACGTACGTGTCCTCTCACATGGGTCGTGCATTGTTTTGTCCTGGGAAAAGGTCCTGGTGAATCAGCAGTCACTGTACTTTGGTCAGTTTTTACACCTCTCAAGTCTTATACTTTCTTTTTTCCCACCATTTACAACCTTTGTGGTCCCGTCAGACAAGCAGGGCGTTTTCATGGCACCAGCAGTCAGTCACTCACTCACTGGCTCGCAGCACTTGCTGAGTCCCTCCTTGTTACAGACCCTGGGAGCCTGGCCCTCCCCAGGTCCGGGGGCGACATCAGACGGTCCTGAGCACCTCTGAGTCCCCGTGGTGTGCAGAGTGAATTGGCGGATGACATCATTTCTGGTCCTCACAGCGGTCCTGAGGGTAGAGCCGGTCATGCACATTTTGCCCGGGAAGACTGGTCCCTTGCCTGGGACATGGCCGTAGTGCAGTGAAGTGCGGAACTGACCTCAGCCTCCCGCTCCCTGCCAGCCCGTGTCTCACAGAGCACTGCTCCGGGCCTTGCACGTTGCTGTAGGCTCAGTAGCTTTCGGTCTCAATTCTTGTTCATGTTTCCTCTTTGATCTTCGTCCAAAAAAAAAAAAAAAAAATCTCAGTTAAATTAAGGAAGACCCAATGAGGTCTTTGGGTTGCATGCGATGTTACTAATAACATTAGCAATAGTATAAGCAGGTAAGAAATGGCATGAACACAGGCTAAATATGTTTTCAAAAGCCAACCACAGCAGCCCCGCAAGTTTCTCGGTCTCCTGGGCAGCTGTTGGCAGAGGTGGTTTGAATGGGATTCCTTGTAGCCAGCAGACCTGATAGGAGGCCTATGAAGATGAGTCAGGCGTGAGCTTGCAGAAAAACCATTTCCCAAATTAGCCCGGGCTGGAGAGTGCCTGGAGCGCAGGACTGGTCTTACCTCAGTCCAGCTGAATGTGTCCCCGTTGCCATAATAAGATGACGCACTGGGGAGAGTAGCGGCCTGGCAGCGCGGCCCGCTGTCGCACCCACGCCCTCGCGGGGCGCCCTGCTGCCGGGGCAGGTGTTCCGCCAGCGCTCCGCCCACCGTGCCCCAAAGGCTGTTTTACGACTACCAAAAACAAAGCCCACACTTGGTGAATTC